TCTTTTCTTCTACGACACACAATGCCATACGATACTTAATTAATTACCAGCCATTTCTTCAAGGAGAACTGTCTTCTGTAGTCCGGAGAACTGTTGTAATTTCGGGGGCTCTCCAGGCCCCACCTGGAGGGTGGCAGCCTTGGTGACTGGCCTGCAGGGTGGGGGTTTTTGCTTCTGTTGGCCTTTGCTCTGATCCAGCAAAGTTCATAGGCTCCTCCCACCTGCAGCCCAAAGTGGTACGGTCCAAAGAAAGCCTTTCCACTTCGTTCTGTGGATAAGAGAGCATGATGGGTAGCTGCGTTTGTCTGCAGCAGTAGAAAAGAGCAAGAGTCCAGGAGCAGCTCCAAGACTAACAACATTTGTAAGTCTTTAAGGGCTCCTGGACTCTTGCTCTTTTCTACCACTTCATTTTGCTGCCGAGAAGAAGCAATTGGATTTCTACTCCGCCCTTCACTCTGAGTCTCAAAGCAATTTACAGTCTCCTTTCCCTTCCCCTCCCCACAACAGGCACCCTGTGAGGCAGGCGGGGCTGAGAGAGCTCTTTCGAGGACTGCCCTTGAGAAAACAGCTCTGAGAGAACATGTGACTGACCCAAGGTCACACCAGCTGGCTGCGTGTGGCGGAGTGGGGAATCAAAGCCGGGTCTCCCAGATTAGAGTCCGCACTTGTAATCACTACACCAAACCGGCTCTCCACGGCTAGCCATCGGTTATAGCTAGGAAGACGGTCAAGAAGGCAGGAAGGAAAAGAAGAAAACGTCACTCCGGGTCCTCTGACAATCTTCGTAAAAGGAAGAAGAAGAAGAAGAGATTGGATTTATACCCTGCCCTTCACTACCCAAGGGAGTCTTAGAGCGGCTTACAAACTCCTTTCCCTTCTCCTCCCCACAACAGACACCCTGTGAGGTAGGCGGGGCTGAGAGGGCTCTTTCGAGGACTGCCCTTGAGAGAACAGCTCTGAGAGAACTTGTGACTGACCCAGGTCATCCAGCCAGGTGCAAGTGGAGGAGTGGGGAATCAAACCCGGTTCTCTCAGATTAGAGTCTGCGCACTTAACCACTACACCAAACTGGCTCTCGGGACCCAAGAGGGGCAGAGCAAAATAGCTAAGGACTGCAGAAGGTATTTGGATCCTCTCTATCCATCTAGAGCCCTTTAATCTTGCCTTTCCTCCAAGGAGTTCAGAGGGACATTTCCTCCTTGTTTTATACAACTAAATTGGAGTCCTGGAGCGCCTTTGAGACCAATAAGACTTTCTGGGTATGAATTTTGAGAGTGCAAGCTATCTTTGTTAGATGGATTCAGGTGGGGTAGCCATGTTGGTCTGAAGCAGCAGAACCAAGTTCGAGTCCAGCAGCACCTTTAAGACCAACCGTGTTTTATTCTGGGTACGAGCTTTCATAGGCATGCACACTTCCTCAGATACAGTGAAATGGAGATTACCAGTCTATACATATCGTCTCCATGCTTGAGAGGAGACGGAAGGAGCATAATGTCAGGGTCTCCGTTAATTACTCTCTGAATTCCACAGTTCAGGATACATCTGCCCATCCGTCTCCAATTCTGACCTATTTGTTTCCTTCAATGTGTCCTTCAATGTGTCCCCCCCCGGAATTAAATCTGTCAAACACCTTCATTGTGTTGTATGCAGGGGTCATTTCCTGCCGGAGCATGCCGGAACGGCGCTCCAGCAGTAAGGAGCCCAGGGGCAAATGCCGGAGTGTCGCTCCAGCAGTAAGGAGCCCAGGGGCCCCCCCGTGCCGCTGCCTTTCCTGGCCCGCCTACAGAGCCCCCACCCCCTACATCACCTGGAGGGATTGAAATGCCTTTCTTTTCCTTCCCCAGATCGGCATTTTAAACATGCCTGGGTTCCCTGCCCGATCTTGAGAAGATCAGGCAGGGAACTCAGGCATGCTTGCATGCTTGCCCTTTGTCAGGGGGTGTGGCCTATGCAAATGAGCTATGCAAATGAGCCCCTGCACCTCTTTTTCTACTAAATGACTCCTGGTTGTATGCAAATTTACTGACCAACCTCCAGCTAAATTTATGGACTGGTGGACTGCAGTGGCTCAAGTGGTTAAGACGCTGAACTGCAGGCTGTGGAAGGTCGGTAGTTCAGCAGTTCGAGAACATAAGAACATAAGAGATGCCAATGTTGGATCAGGCCAAAGGCCCATCCAGTCCAACACTCTGTATCACACATGACGGAGTGAGCTCCCGTCTCTAGTTCCAGCTCCTGCCAACCTAGCCGTTCAAAAGCAAGAAATGGCAAGTAGATAAATAGGTACCACTTCGGTGGGAAGGGAACAGTGTTCCGTGCACCTTGGTGTTTAGTCATGCCGGCCACATGACCACAGAAACATCTTCGGACAGCGCTGGCTCTTGGAAATGGAGGGCTTGAGTCGGACTCGACTGGCTTTCGAGGAAGGGAACCTTTACCTTTACCTTTTAACTTCCATTTCGTTGTATCTGAGGAAGCGTGCCTGCACACGAAAGCTTATGCCTTGAATATTAACTTGGTTGGTCTTAAAGGGGCTTCTGGACTCAAACCTTGTTCTCCCTTCATCAGATACAAGTCAGAACGGAGATCCCCGAGTCCTCCTACCCCAGTCAGAAAGCGGGAGGGGTTTTGCAAAGGAAGAAGTTGAGATGCTTGCATCTGACGAAGGGAGCGTTGACTTTGGAACACTCAAAGCCTGAAAATCTTGTCGGCCCCGAAGGTGCTACTGAACTCGAATCAAGCTCCACTATTGCAGACTGACACGGCTCCCTTCTGAAATGCTTGTATACGGATTTTCTTTTTAAGTTTAAATGACCTGCTCTGAGCCCTCAGTAAACGGCAGGCTGTCGGTTTTGAGCAAACGGGCAAAGCTTAAAATGTAGGGGTTTTTTAAATCCATCCTCCTTCAAATTGGTGGAGCTGCGGTGGCTCAAGTGGTTACTGGGGACCCGAAGCAGCCTACATGGTTCTCGTCTCTGCCATTTCTCTCTCACAACAGCCCTGTGAAGTAGGCCAAGCTGAGAATGTGCAGGGGGTTGGAATAGATGAACTGCACAGCAGGGCCAGCCTGACTTTTTTTGCACCCTAGGCGGGGCTACCTTCTGGCACCCCCCGCACACCCAATTATGTGGTTGCCAGCCTCCAGGCAGAGCCTGGAGAAGGAAGTCCTACTTCTCTCCCCCTTTAGACGAGCAAGGAGGAGGTGGCGAGGTTTCCGGGCACCCAAACCAAAACTGGCTTTCGAGCAAGGGAAACCTTTACCTTTACCTTTTACCTTCAAATTGAATTGAAAAGGTCTGAGATTCCAAATGTCAGCTCTGAAGCTTTACCCCACCTCTGGACTCGTGCAGCGTTTTGTTTCTTCAGTACGACAGCCCCTTTGCAACTCTGAAAGAGGGAAGAAGCGGAAGGTTCCATGGACAGTGTGCCAGGGTCACACTCTCTCTCTCTCTCTCTGACTGAGCCTACCTTACACGACTGTTGTAACTGCGACTGAGGCTTCAAGCTAGACAAACATGCATTCATAGAACACGGAACTGTTAAGAGCCAGGATTTCTCCCCTCCCCCATTTCAGTTGATGCTTGCAACTCGGGATACCAGCCTCCAGGTGGGACCTGGGGTGGTGGCAGAGCAGCCGAAGGTAGCCATTGTCCAGGGGGCACCTAGAGATCTACCACTATTAGAATTGATCTGATGACCAACATCAGTTCCCTCCGGACGGTGAACTCTGTGGCGTTCTGCCCAGCTGGGGCCCCTCCCCACCCTAAAGCCCACCCTCCCCAGACTCCACCCTCAAAATCTACAGCAGTGTCCCAACCCGGAGTTGGCAACCGTGGCTGAAACAGGATGCTGAACGAAAGGGACCACTGCTCTGGTCTAGGAGAGCTGCTCTCAGGTTGTTGCGGTTGAACTGCTTCCCACCAGAGGTCATTTCGGGGGGGGATCGCGGGGGATCGCAGTTCCCCCGGGTGAGGTATGGGGGCGGGGCATGTGACGAAGCCCCGCCCCCTGCTTCCGGCCGCCCCGCTTCCGGCCCTAATTCAGCCAGGAGGAGGCAGGAGAAGAGGGAGGGGAAGTTGCCGGCCGGGACCGTTGGGGGCGGGGGGTGTGGCCTTATGACACACTTCCGGTGATGTCAGGGGGTGTGGCCTTATGACACACTTCCGGTGATGTCAGGGCGTGTGGCGTATGATAATGAGTTATGCTAATGAGTTCCCCTAGCTCTTTTTCTATGAAATGACCCCTGCTTCCCACTAACTGCCACTGTTGTGGTTGAACTGCTTCCCAGTTTGCCGTAGCGGTTAAGAGTGTGGACTCTAAGCTGGGAGAACCGCGTTTGATTCCCCACTCCTCCACTTGCACCAGCTGGATGACCTTGGGCAAGCCGTAGTTCTGTCAGAGCTGTTCTTGGGAAAAAAGCAGTTTCCTTCAGAGCCCTCTCAGCCCCGCCTACCTCACAGGGTGTCTATTGTGGGGAAGGGAAAGGAGACTGTAAGCCGCTCTGAGAATACTGAGCAATGAAAACAATCCATTTCACAGTATTTGCTTTAGCTGAGCGCGTAGCCATCCCAATTCTTATCAATTACTGCTTATCTAACTCTTGAAGGAAACATTCCATGTTGACTCTCTAATAACAGTATCCGAGGTCTCCGCATGGAATGTTTCCTTCAAGAGTTGATAAGTAGTAATTGATAAGAATTGGGACGGCCACACGCTCAGATACAGTAAATACTGTGAAACGGATTGTTTCCATTGTGCAGTACTCGCTAGCGTGTGAGCGATAATAGAAGAAAATCTCTTACAGAATTACTACAGTAAATGTTTTTGCAACTTATCTTTATTGACTCTTCGTTATTTTTTTGTCACGGATGTTGTTTCTGGAAATCCAGTTCCTCCCGTGAGCTCTCACTTTTGGCTTCGACCTGGAGGTTGGCAACACTACTGCGGGCCTGTCAATGACACCCTCCTGAGGCACTGTTTCTCCTTCTCCCGTGTCGCAGGGCGCGATGATGGCACACCCCAAGCTCCTGCTCCTGCTCCTGCTCCTCTTTGCGGCCAGGACGGGCCTAAGCCTCAAGCTGTACCAGGCCGAGTCCATCTTCAGCTGCCTCAACGCCGCCCTCTCCGAGGCCAAGAAGGGCTCCGCTGAGGAGAACTCCCTCCTGGAGAAGAGGAGCTTCAAGTTCTCGCCGGGCGAGGACGCCTCCTCGGAGGACAACGACGAGGAGGCCGAGGAGGAGGAGGACAAAGAGAAACGGACGTTCCCGGCCGTCACCCGCTACAAATACCTGGCCCAGGCCCAGGGGAAGGGCAAGGTGTACCAAGGGCAGGCCAAGAGCGACCGGCGCACCAAATTCACCCTCTCCCTCGACGTCCCCACCAACATCATGAACATCCTCTTTGACATCGCCAAGGCCAAGAACCTGAGGGCCAAGGCGGCCGCCAACGCCCACCTCATGGCCCAGATCGGCCGGAGGAAGTGACGAGGGCGGGGGAGGGAGAGGGCCGAAGCTGAGGCTGAGGCAGGGACAGGAGGCCGGGGGAGGGGGACACCCTTCGCGTTCGGCCTTCCCTTCCTCGAGGTCCCTAGAGACTGTCCACCGCACTGTATAGTTCCCACCCTCGCCACCGCTTGACGTTCCTTCCTCTTCCCTCTCCCGGAAGGAACTCTGGGCTGAGAGGAATTCCATTCTCATGAGCAACTGAGGGAGCCGGGGGTTGGGGGTGGGGGAGAGTATTCACTTGACATTACGCAGGGGGCCCCATTAAAGCAAATTCTCCTGAGCTCCCAATTCTTTGCATTTTTTTTTCCTTTCTGCTCTTGGGAGTTGCAATTAGACGGTCTGCTTTCTTTGGAGTAGCCGGCCAGAGATGCCATCCTCCAGGCGGGAGCTGGGGATCCCCCCGGAATTACAGCTGGTCTGCAGAGTCAGACTACAGATATCAGTGAGAACAGGCATGTCCAACTTTTCCCAGCCAAAAGTGCCGGTGATCTACCACCATGAAAATAAAGTTTCAAATTAGTTTCAAATTAGATTTTAACCCACTAAAGTTGGGTCCCCCGCCAATGTTCCCTCTAATCTGTGGAGTCTTGTGAGCAAAGATTCTATTTTGTGAGCTACCGGCATCAAAGTTGTGAGCAAGGGATTTGGCTGCTGCATAAATCAGTTTGCTCTGGAGCCCTCCTTCCTGAGCTAAGACAAAAATGTGTGAGCCGGAGGCTGAAAAACTGTGAGCTAGCTCACACTAACTCAGCTTAGAGGGAACACTGGTTCCCCCCCCCCAAACAGAGAGACGAAGATCCAGAAAGAACCACCAAACAATCATCAAAAAAACCCAAGCACCTGTCCAGCAAACCAGGAGACCAAGTGTGTCTGGTGATCTACCTCTGACCCCTCCGCGATCTACTGGTAGATCGCGATCTACCTGTTGGACATATCTGAGTTAGAACTCTATTATTATTTATTTAGCCAGTTTGGTGTAGCTTTGTGTAGTGGCTAGGAGCGCAGACTCTAATCTGGGAGAACCAGGTTTGATTCCCCACTCCTCTCCATGCTGCTGCTGGTGTGACCTTGGGTCAGTCACAAGTTCTCTCAGAGCTGTTCTTTCAAGGGCAGTCCTCAAGAGAGCTCTCTCAGCCCCGCCTCCCTCACAGGGTGTCTGTGGTGGGGAGGGGAAAGGGAAGGAGATTGTCAGCCGCTCTGAGACTCCTTCGGGTAATGAAGGGCAGGGTATAAATCTACCTGTTGGACATACCTGAGTTAGAACACTTTTATTATTTATTTAGCCAGTTTGGTGTAGCTTGTTGTCGTGGTTAGGAGCCCAGACTCTAATCTGGGAGAACCGGGTTTGATTCCCTACTCCTCTCCATGCAGCTGCTGGTGTGACCTTGGGTCAGTCACAAGTTCTCTCAGAGCTGTTCTCTCAAGGGCAGTCCTCCAGAGAGCTCTCTCAGCCCCGCCTCCCTCACAGGGTGTCTGCGGTGGGGAGGGGAAGGGGAAGGAGATTGTCAGCCGCTCTGAGACTCCTTCGGGTAATGAAGGGCAGGGTATAAATCCAATTTCTTCTCTTCTCATTATTTGATTTGTCACGCAGCCATCGTCCCTGTTGCAAGGGGAATCTCAAAATTCAAGGGGGAGCAGGTTTTATTGGCTAAACTATATAAATTTTGGCGCTCCGAGTCTAACAATGTAAGCCTCACTGAGTTCATCAGGAGTAAACCCACTCAAGCCCTGACCTGGATAATTTTGTCATATGGCGGGTCTTGGAAAAAATGACCAACTCCAGGTGTCAAATACGCCAGGTGACGCCATTGGAGCTGTGTACCTGATGCAACGCCGGTAAAGGAATTCAAAATTGCGGTGAGGGGAGGAGCCAATCAGGGAAACCGCTCAAATGAGGGAAAAGAGGCAACCGATAAAGGGTGAGACGCGTACACCAGGAACACCCCGCAGTTGTACTGCGAAGGACGGTGAATGTACTTTAACGGGGATTGCGCTGCCCCCTTGAGGCTGCTGAAGCGCTCCAACGCTTCAGCGCATGCGCAAAAAAACC